GCTTAGGTAGGGGGTGGAGTCCTGGGGGGGGAGTTAGGGGGCCAGGGTCCCAGGAGGGGGCAGTCACGGGACAAGGAGCGGGGGGAGGTTGGGGATTCTGAGGGGGGCGGGAAGTGAGAGGGGCGGGGCTAGGGCGGGGCTCCTCCTGTCCTCTTTTTTGCTTGCTGAAATATGGTAACCCTAGAAAAAGGTGAAATTGACAGGAAAGGTTAGAAGAGCTAGCTTTCCATTCCCAAAGCTTAGGTTTCAGTTTTAGCCGTCCTTTCCCCCATTCCCACCAAACCCTTCATCCCTTTTACCTGAGAGCCAAAAGAGCTTTAGAAAGATTTTTTTAAAATAGACATATATGATGGCTATTTTTATCTCTGTTTTTAATCTTTTAATTACCTTAAAAAGTTAGGGTGGTTGAAACTTGTATTGATATCTATGCACCTGTCTAGTAAAGAGCTCAAGAAGCAAAGCTTTTACATATGCACGTAAGTCCAACCCTAACCTAAAAAACATGGTTAACTTTAGGTATATACTTAAGTTCCATTGAGCCTAATGGAACTTAACCATTTATCAACAGTTAAACTCATGGTCAAGTGCTTTGCTAAATATGGGGGGTGGGAGGGAGGGACTGCTGAATCAAGGCCTATGTAAGTGCTATGATTTTAGTGATATATTTCAATCATGATTGTATAATAAACACTTTGAGCAATGCCATGCTATCCCATCCCTTAAAATGAACATGGAAGAAGTACATTGCTAACCTCAAATTTTGCATTGATCATCAACAAGAAGTGCTATCCAAGAACCCAGTTCTCCCGCTCTTACTCATATGATTTGTGTCTAACACTAACCTTCCCTCCACCTTTACAATTTCTCACCACTGATGCCATTGGTGCAGTTCAGCTAGTGGAAACAACGGTAGGAATGCTAGTGCAAACTCTCTGCTGGAATTTTAACCATTGTGTCCTCTAAATCTGTTCACAGCAGGTCTAGGTAATGCAGTGATGAAAATGCCAGTGGCTGATGGTGACCCATCTATGCCAGTGTCCAGTTCTGTTGCTATCAGAGATGGAACTGTATAGTATGAGCAATGGTAGGGAATATAACAGGAAAAAAAACTAATATAGACAAGTCCATTAGGTAAGGAGCCAGAACCAGAGCCCTAATGAGCAGGATTTAACAAATAATTATAAAAAGTCAAAAATATTATGGAATTTGTTGGAAAAGATTTTCAATGAAAATTATACAACCATCTCTACTAATTAGTTTATTGAGCCTCTACAAAGCTTTTAGGTAAAGGCAAGAAACAACACGTCCCAGTCACTGCTAAAGTACGCCACTAAATAATATGTTGTTTACCTTCCGTTTCCTTCCAAAAGGAATTGTTTCAATATTTACACTGCAGCTTTAGCAATTTTACCATCCTTTTTTGCTCAACAACGTTAAAACAATTTTCCCTTTGTTGCAGAAAAAGTAGTAGTTTAGCTGGACTGTAAATTAGACTGTAGGTATGTTGCAAATTCCACAGATTCATTTTTCATGGAGAGCCAAATCCACATTTAAGTGCATAAAGCAGCTGTCACACCACACATTCTGCTAGTGAGCTTGTCATACCTTCGATTAACTTTTGGCACACAGACAGGGGCTTAGATCTCTTCCAAGACAGTTAAATAATAATGAAAAAAATAACTTTGATGCTACCTGAAACCAAACTATTCAAAGCACATTGCCTGCATTCCCTAGTCTCAGGCACTGAGCCAAGATATGGATATAATCATTTTGGCTGACGATGGGGGAGAAGAGGAGCTTAAAGAGTGGAGTGTTGTAGTGCTTTGGTAAAGACAAGCAACATACTTCATTTCAGATCTGTAAAGTAATGCTAAGGTGTCCCCCACGTCGTGGTAGAATGAGAGGATTAGCATACTCAATGTCTTAATGTTTCTTTTTCTTGCTTGCTTTTTTCTTGTATATGTTTCATAGGAAACTAGAATCTATACCCACCAAGCCATCTCTACATCTATACTTTCATCCTCTCTCTGGCAGTGTCTAGTATTTGATGTTCCAAGAAGGCAAGCTGCCTGGTTATGCACCCAGCCACCTGTGAAATGATCTACATGGGGAAAAAAAAGTCCTTCCTCATCTTCTACCCAACAAGATGCTCATGACACTTGAGATTAGTTACCCTCATCATTATCTTACTTTTCATATCTACCAATATTATTAGTCATCCAAAAATGATCCACCATTTATAGTAATCCAGTCCCAGTTTTTGACTCAATCTCTTGTAGCAATGAATTCTCTGCATTGGAGGGAGTAGTTAAAGGGGTCTCTGGGACTCAAGACTTCTATGCTCTTTTTTAGGTTGCACAAATATATGTATGGAAATGAGGAAAGAAAACCCTTTCTCTATGGCCCCATCACCTCCAGAGAATTTCCCTAAATTTCCCACCACTGTTAACACTGGTTCAGTTCCACCAAGTGTTAGCAACTTTTGGGAGCCCTAGTGTATAGAGGTTACTGATACCATTTGAAGCATTATGGCAGTTAGTCTTGCTCTGAGCTGATCTAAATAACAGGGGCAGGAGTAGCCTGTGTGGCTCTTACACATTACCCTCTGCTTTAGTGGGGAGTAGTAGATTTTTTGGCCCATTTCACATTCCTTTTAGGTCCTGCCTATTCTCCACCCACTCCTTGAACTCCCATATAGGGAGTTTCTACAATGCAAGGCTCTGCACTGTAGACTTGTATCTTTCCACTGACTTTAACAGGAGCTCATAGACTCATAGACTTTAAGGTCAGAAGGGACCATTATGATCATCTGGTCTGACCCCCTGCATGCTGCAGGCCACAAAACCCTTCCCTGGACTCTGCTGTTGAAGTCCCCAATCCTGTGTTTTAGTGACTTCAATCGGCAGAGACCCTCTGGATAAGGGCCTATGCAAGCAGCGATATCCGTAAGCAACCTCTCCACCTGTTCCTGCCCTCCGCATTCAGAGGAACTGCACTGGCTCCAGGTCAGGGGAACCTCTGCAGGTACAGAGGCAGAGACAGAATATGACCCATTATGCATCTTTTGTTATGAGACTAAATTTATCATGTTCTCCACCGGTGGCTTTTCACAGCCAGGCTGTGCAAACAGGATAAGCTACAGCAAAGGGCTCATGCTCATATGAGTAGGGCCCTACCAAATTCACAGTCCATTTTGGTCAATTACACGGTCATAGGATTTAAAAAATTGTACATTTTATGATCTCAGGTATTTAAATCTGAAATTTCATGGTGTTGTAGGGGTCCTGACCTGAAAAGTAGTTGTGGGGGGTCGCAAGGTTATTGTAGTGGGGTGGTGGTATTGCTACCCTTACTTCTGCGCTGCTGCAGGTGGTGGCGCTGCCTTCAGAGCTGGGCAGCTGGTGAGCGACGGCTGCTGGCCGGGAGTTCAGTTCTGAACGCAGAACTGCTGCCAGCAGCAGCGCAGAAGTAAGGATGGCATGGTATGGTATTGCCAGTCTTACTTCTGCGCTGGTGCTGGCAGGGCACGGCCTTCAGAGCTGGGCACCCAGCCAACAGCCGCCGCTCTCCGGCCACCCAGCTCTAAAGACAGCAACACAGAAGTAAGGGTGGCAATACCGCAACACCCCCCCAAAAAATAACCTTGCGACCCCCCTGCAATTCCCTTTTGGGTCAGGACACCCAATTTGAGAAACACTGGTCTGCCCCATGAAATCTGTATAGTATAGGGTAAAAGCATACAAATGACCAGATTTCAGGGAGGAAGACCAGATTTCACGGTCCGTGACGAGTTTTTCAAGGCTGTGAATTTGGTAGGACAGTACATATGAGGAGAGATATTTCCACATACCATCCTGGCAAGCTCAACATTACACCAGAAAAAAAATGTTCTCCTCATGGTTAAATTTACTGGCTGCACAAATGGAAGCAATGCAAAGACATACTGTGCGTTGAAAAAATATGGTATTTACCAATATCATGAAATACCAGGAAAGGAATAACAGTCCAGGCTACACTGGAATTCTAAACAGATATTTACTTAGTATCTTAGATCCTAATCCAAAATCCACTGAAGTCAAAGGAAAGACTCCAATTGACTTCAATGGATTTTGGATCAGACCCCGAAACAGGTTACCAATTAAATACCCTTGCAGTAATCATGTTTTTTGATTGCCTCTCCATACATGTAGGCACTATGTACAATATGGGCCTGATCTAACTCCAAGTTTAGATGAGGGTAAAAGTCCTATGGACTTGACTGACAGCAATATTAGGTAGGTGGCAGAATTAGCTTGAGTGGTAGAATTTTTGCTTCACGTGTGTGTGGATTGATGCCTGCATATTCTAAACTGCTCCAGTTTGGGCTGTAGATGCTTTCATTTACAAATTAAATTAGGAGAGGATTAAATTAGGAGTCTTTAAATAAGGAGTGGATGTCTTTATAAAGGATTGTTCTAATATAACCACATGTTATTTGGCTGGGCACAGGAATTACTGGGTAAAAACTATGGCTTGGATTATGCAGGAGATCAGTCTATATGATCGGAATGGTTCCTCTGAACTTAATATTTAAAAATATATGAAAATTGGGCACTCTAACTGGATGCTGAACAATGGACAGAATTATACACAACAAATGCTGTATATTTTACCAAAGGACAGGATGATCTCAGTCTAAGTTAAAATATAAGAACCAACACTATTACTATAACTGATAGAACTATATTTAGGAAAGAGCTAAGATGCCAGGCTCCAGAGTCTGCTGATAAGTTATTTTGCTTTACGAATGCTGCCAAACTAAATTATCTGCACAATTCTATTGTATCCTTCTAGTCTTAGTTTACAAAACTATATGAGTTGATCCCAACCAATCAATACTTAAATTTCTCACTGGAATTCCAACCCCTTCTCCCCCCAACAATTCATGCACACAAAATAGAAAAAAAATATTTAAAGAACACTTAAGATGTATAAAGCAAGTAATCTGGAGATCTTCTTACCTTTGACCCAATGAGAGTGTACAGCCATTGGATGGTTTCATTATGATTTATTACTCCATTCATCCCATCTACATACAGCATAATCTGGCCCAAAGCTAAAGTAAAGAAAAAGACAAAGAAAGTACAATCAGACCTGATGAATATTTATTAAAATCCCGATATTTACTATCATTACTATTGACGTAGGTTCATATTGACCAATACTTTATTGACAAAAGACACAAGCCTAGATCCTGTTCTAGATTACACTGGTGTTAATTTGAAGTAACTTCATTAACTGCATTTGGAGTTACTGCAGATTTGTACTAACGTCACTGAGGGCAGATTATAGTAATCAGCCCTTGCCTGAATGATTCTGTGCTGTATTGGCCCAGTCTTGGAAACACTTGCTACCCGGCATAGTGCTTACTACCAGGAACAGTTCCATTATTTTCAATGGGCTACACTTTGCTACCGTGAGCCAATGGGTCTATTCATGTTTGGAAGTACTATGTAGTGTACTGAAGTTTTAGATTTTGAATCTATTTTTGCCAATTAAAATAATTTTTGATTAGGCTAGCCATTCTGTTTGGCAAATTTCAGCAATTCACAATTCCAGTGTGTTAGTTAATGCAAGTTAGTACAGTAGAATGTTGCTATTTCACAAAGACATCCTTGTGAATCACTGAAATTTGAGTGTTAGCAAGGAAACAAAAAACAGCAAGAAGAAAACATCACCAAATATGCTTTATGATAACATTTCATATAGTGCTTGTAAAATACAATACTATACTTGAAAAACTCATGAGGTATTGCTAACATGAGACTTTGCTACAGCACATAGTTATTAATTCTTTGCTGAGCGATAAGGAAAGACAGAGATTTTTCATACAGATTATCAACTGCTGGGATTAGTGAAGAGTGGATTAGCAAAAATCAAAGCTTTCTCCAAAACTTTTACTTTATAATAAGAGATTCATGCACACTTGAGCTGAAAAGGAACATGGTAGCACCTTCAACACAATCTGTAGTAAGAATAACTCAATAGTATTAAAGATGACCCAAGAGTTATTACAGGAGAATTTTTGCAATAAAGAAATATCAAAAAATAGTACAGAGAATTATTTGCAGAGAAAATAATTATTATACTGTGCATCTTCCAAATGCTTTTCAAGCATTGGCTAGTTTCACTATATGTTCTATACTGGACCCGATCAGCAGAACCTGTCTCTGCTGGTTGGGTGGGGAATGATCCATAACCCACCTCAAAAGTGGGTGGCATTGTCTAGCGGCTGTCCATCAGGTGAATCACCCATTTGGCCCAACCAGCTTTGTTGACACAGAGAGACGCAATGCTTACATCTCTTTGCCAGGAAGCATGAATCTGGCCTATTAACTAATCATTCATCATAACTGAGGTAGGTAAAAATGTATACTTATACCCTTTTTTCAAAGGGGCGAACTGATGCAGAGAAGCAAATGCCAAAGGCCACACAACATGTCAGTGGCAAAACTGGATTAGAGCTCAGATTCCTAATTACGGTACCTATCCTACGTTCCCTAGACCACGGTGCCACTAACAAGAATAGCAGGAATCATGACATGTTCACATCATTTGGTAGTAGTTTGTTTCTTTTATGATATGTCTGTATGATTTTTCCAACCTGAAACCACTGTTCACACAACTGTACTGAATAGGCAGTGGGCATGCCATGACTCTTGATAAGGAGGCTTATTATGCCAAATACGATCATTTCTCTGTTACTTAGTTTTGTTCCCTCTCACCACCATATTTGTTTATCTCTACCTGTTGTGTTTCCAAGGTTTAGATTTTAAGTTCTCTGGTGTCTTTTTTGTTGTGTGTGTACAGTTCCTACCACTATGAAGCCCTGATCCCTGATTGAGACCTCTTAGCACTAATGGAACAGAAATGTATACATAAATAATAATAAATGTACATATCATCATATCATATATGCTACTGTTCTACTAACTACATTATTAGTTAGGAGAGATTCCCCCACAGGCACAAATGCAACCAAGTTCTTAACTGTCATTGAAAATCAATAGTAGTTAGGAATCTAACTGACATTTGTGTTTCTAGTAAATCTCACCCAGTGGTCTGTTTTACACGAAAGACTAAAAAAAAGAGTCAATACATTTAGAAAAATTAAGATAACTCCCCATCAGCAAGATATAGCCAGTTAGTAAAGAATGATTAAAATTGCACTGACTGGATAAAAGGGCTTATTTTCAGCATTTCCTGACAGTTATTTGAGAGAGGGGAACACTGATATCCCTCAATAATCAAATAAAGGTCATAATTCCTATATTTGCTTCTTTTCAGAACAAAAAGATTTGGCCATAGATCAGGGTGAGATCAAACCGTGATAAAATCACCAAACCATTCCTTTGTAGTGAATGCTTTGGTTAGGGGTGAAGGGATTTAATTTGAATCTGAAACAAATGTGCAACAAAATTTATTCCTGGCACATACTTTCCAAATTAATAAGAAAGAAATCAAAGACAGCCGAAAGTCTGCCTTTAAAACAAAAACACACACAATTTTCCAACAGAACAACTTTTCTATTTGTGTTCAAGATAGACTGGATGCCTACGTAAGATCTGGGCTACGTCCCAGCTTTTAAAATATGACTGTGCATAACAACACTGGGCACATTAGCAGGCACCATGGAAAGCAGGAGCAACATGATTCCTGCTACCGCAAAACCTTTGTGTGTGCGTGTGCACATTATCAGGCACTGCCTCAAGACTGATCATATCTGTTATAGCTACAGGACAGGTCTTTGGGATCTTAGTGGAAAATTCTAAACATGTGAAAGAAGATTTACTAGACATTCTGTTGCAGTTTAAACAACTGGCAAATACTGACAAAAGTATTACAAGATAAAGAATATTGTATAGAATGTCATCGAGCAGTTTACACAAAAGAGAAGTTTCTGCTGGTGCCAGGCTGCCTGCACAGAAGTCACGTCTACAATAATTATCTGTCACACATCAAGTTATCAGTTGCTGACAGTCCCTGGAATGGAGCTTCATAGTTTACTTGCTGAATAGCATGTTATTTCCTGTCTCTATTAGTCACAGGAACAAAAGTGAGACTTAAGGAAGGTGTGGGAGGCAGGGGAGGGGAATCTACTTTCTATAGGATGAGCACCTAAAATATACAGCAACTTTATACCCTTAACTGATCTCTTAGATTCATGTACATTGATGGTGCCTTAAAAATCTTTTTGTCCTCAGATTGAGTTCCATTAAAAAAGAAACACGGAATTCCTGTTTTAAAAAAAATCCACAAACACTCCCCCAGGACTGTACAAGGTCCATTTCCAAAGCTAAATGCTACTTGTGTTGCACGGGTGTGCTGAGGGAAAAGAGAACACCTGAAAAGAATGGAGCAGAGTGGAGGCTGTTGTATGAACACTAGCCTGGGAACCAAGTTAATGCACTTGCTGACACTTCATGGCTCTAATGAGGATTGAGTCTGCCTGACCAGGTCTTGCATATGTCACAGTTGACAGATTGGGCACAGGGTGCTCCTTGTCTAGAGCAGCAGCATGTGTCCCCCTCAGATACTCTGAGGCACTTTGCCCTACATTGGCACAGCGGCTTATGATCCACTGAATGGCTGAAACCCCATGGTCAGAATGGCTGAAACTCCCCCCAACTCTCCCACATTAGTGGCATAGCTAATAGGGGGCGGGAGGTGACTCCCTCACCGCACTCTGGTGACCCCTAGGGTATGTGTGGTGCCTTTTCAAGCTAATAGGTATATCTGAAGGTGGCACCATCAATGACCCATTACCCCCTAGCCCCGCTCTGTCATTGTTCACAACCTGGCTTCGCTACCTCCCCATACATGGCCACGTCAAGGAAGAGCATGATTTTACCCTATGGAAACAGGCTAATTTGAGAAGGGATCTGTTAAGTCAACAAGTTTACTTTGGGGCTGGATTTGGTCCATCACATCTAACCTCTCCATTTGTACATTCATGTAACCAAATTGGCAAAAAGTGCAAGCTATTTAATCCAGTCTCTGTGCTAACTGGAATTCTACTTTGGAAATATATCAACAAGGAAAGCATGCTATTGAGCAATGGGGGGCAGACAGGAGGGTGGGGGGTTAAGATGAGCAGGCGTAATTTGAAATTCCTTTGCTTTTGATGGTTTAAGTCAAACTCTTAATCTTATTTGAACATAGTTTGTGAATTTACCCAGGGTTATTTTAAGGTGGAATATCACTGGATTTCTTAGATTAGGTTTATGTTGGAAGAGGATGGACCAGCCAGGCATTTCATAGATTTCTAAGGAATCAGAGGCTTGAAAAAAAAAAAACTTGCCAGTATTGGCACTGAGACTTTTTTGAACTCCATATAAGAAGGGTTAACTGGACTAATGAGGAAAAAACTAGCACAAAAATCTCACCCTCCTAACTATTTTAGTAGAAGTCTTATATTTTACCCACCTATAATTTCATACTTTTCAAAGCTGTTTCCAACCTGTAGTGTTCAGCAGCTTTAAGCCTCTCTGGAATGCAGCCTTATTTTTTCTATCTATGTCAACTTTGCACCACAGTAACAACCTAGTTAAAATACCAGCATTGGAGTCAGGACAATTGCTATTTTATTCCTGCTTCCTCAAGTCAAAACATAGTTTATCATGCCAGAGTTATGGTGCAATATATCTAATGACTATGTATAGTTTTTTTCCTAAATAAGAATGATGGACCAAAGTCAGACCTTGTCAAAGTGGGTTCAACTCTGATGGAAATTCCTGGGCCAAATTCAATGAGGATGTCATACACAGTGGTAGCAGTTTAAGTTACATGTTGAATTAAACTATATTGGTAATTAAATAGGTATAAATGTAATAGAAATTGCACCAATCTGGCATTCAGAGATTTGCAAAAATTATTCACCACCAGTGTGGAAGGAGGGGATGGCAGAAAGAATAAATAGCAGGGTGTAAGTTTAAGCATAGTGGGGATCCTTTGTGGTACACCTCCTACACTTTTCCTGCTATATCTTTTTTCTGATTCCTTACAATCATTTTGTACATCCCCTGAATGTCATATAAGTAGAAGTTATATTACTTT